AGTGATCGCTGAAGAAATCAAAGAGGAAATCAAAAAATACCTAGAAACAAATGACAGAACACGACGACCCAAAACCTATGGGATGCAGCAAAAGCAGTTGTAAGAGGGAAGTTTATAGCAATACAATCCTACCTCAAGAAACAAGAAAATCTCAAACAACCTAACCTTACACCTAAAGCAACTAGAGAAAGAACAAAAAAAAAAAAACCCCAAAGTTAGCAGAAGGAAAGAAATCATAAAGATCAGATCAGAAATAAATAAAAAAGAAATGAAGGAAACAATGGCAAAGATCAATGAAACTAAAAGCTGGTTCTTTGAGAAGATAAACAAAATTGATAAACCATTAGCCAGACTCATCAAGAAAACAAGGGAGAAAGCTCAAATCAACAGAATTAGAAATGAAAAAGGAGAAGTAACAACTGACACTGCAGAAATACAAAGGATCATGAGAGATTACTACAAGCAACTATATGCCAATAAAATGGACAGCTTGGAAGAAATGGACAGATTCTTAGAAAAGCACAGCCTTCTGAGACTGAACCAAGAAGAAATAGAAAATATAAACAGACCAGTCACAAACAGTGAAATTGAAACAGTGATTAAAAATCTTCCAACAAACAAAAGCCCAGGACCAGATGGCTTCACAGGAGAATTCTCAAACATTTAGAGAAGAGCTAACACCTATCCTTCTTAAACTCTTCCAAAGCATAGCAGAGGGAGGAACACTCCCAAACTCATTCTACGAGGCCACCATCATCCTGATACCAAAACCAGACAAAGATGTCACAGAAAAAGAAAACTACAGGCCAATATCACTGATGAACATAGATGTAAAAATCCTCAACAAAATACTAGCAAACAGAATCCAACAGCACATTAAAAGGATCATATACCATGATCAAGTGGGGTTTATCCCAGGAATGCAAGGATTCTTCAATATACGCAAATCAATCAATGTGATATACCATATTAAGAAACTGAAGGATAAAAAACATATGATAACCTCAATAGATACAGAAAAAGCTTTTGACAAAATTCAATACCCATTTATGATAAAAACTCTCCAGAAAGTAGGCATAGAGGGAACCTACCTCAACATAATAAAGGCCATATATGACAAACCCACAGCCAACATTGTTCTCAGTGGTGAAAAACAAACCATTTCCTCTAAGATCAGGAACAAGACAAGGGTGCCCATTCTCACCACTGTTATTCCACATGGTTTTGGAAGTTTTAGCCACAGCAATTAGAGAAGAAAAAGAAATAAAAGGAATCCAAATCGGAAAAGAAGAGGTAAAACTGTCACTGTTTGCAGATGACATGATACTATACATAGAGAATCCTAAAGATGCTAACAGCAAACTACTAGAGCTAATCAATGAATTTGGTAGAGTAGCAGGATACAAAATTAATGCACAGAAATCTCTTGCATTCCTATACATTAATGATTAAAATTCTGAAAGTGAAATTACGGAAACACTCCCATTTACCATTGCAACAAAAAGAATAAAATACCTAGGAATAAACCTACCTAAGGAGACAAAAGACCTGTATGCAGAAAACTGTAAGACACTGATGAAAGAAATTAAAGATGATACAAACGGAGAGATATACCATGTTCTTGGATTGGAAGAATCAACGTTGTGAAAATGACTGTGCTACCCAAAGCAATCTACAGATTCAGTGCAATCCATATCAAACTACCAATGGCATTTTTCACAGAACTAGGACAAAAAACTGCACAATTTGTATGGAAACACAAAAGACCCTGAATAGCCAAAGCAACCTTGAGAAAGAAAACCGGAGCTGGAGGAATCAGGCTCCCTGACTTTGTAGTATGGAAGTATGTACTCCCATACTACAAAGCTACAGTAATCACGACAGTATGGTACTGGCACAAAAACAGAAATACAGATCAATGGAACAGGATAGAAAGCCCAGAGATAAACCCATGCATATGTGGTCACCTTATCTTTGATAAACGAAGCAAGAATATGCAGTGGAGAAAAGACAGCCTCTTCAATAAGTGGTGCTGGAAAAACTGGACAGCTACGTGTAAAAGAATGAAATTAGAACACTTCCTAACACCATTCACACAAAAAAAGTCAAAATGCATTAAAGACCTAAATGTAAGGCCAGACACTATAAAACTCTTAGAGGAAAACTTAGGCAGAACACTCTATGCCATAAATCACAGCAAGATCCTTTCTGACCCACCTCCTAGAGAAATGGAAATGAAAACAAAAACAAATGGGACCTAATGAAACTTAAAAGCTTTTGCACAGCAAAGGAAACCATAAACAAGACGAAAAGACAACCCTCAGAATGGGAGAATATATTTGCAAACGAAGCAACTGACAAAGGATTAATCTCTAAAATATACAAGCAGCTCATGCAGCTCAATATCAAAAGAACAAACAATCCAATGCAATAATGGGGAGAAGACCTAAATAGATATTTCTCCAAAGAAGATAATACATATTGCCAGCAAACACATGAAAGGATGCTCAACATCACTAATCATTAGAGAAATGTAAATCAAAACTACAATGAGGGGGCTTCCCTGGTCACGCAGTGGTTAAGAATCTGCCTGCCAATGCAGGAGACACAGGTTCGAGCCCTGGTCTGGGAAGATCCCACATGCCGCGGAGCAACTAAGCCCGTGCGTCACAACTACTGAGCCTGCGCTTCAGAGCCTGCGAGCGACAACTACTGAAGCCCATGTGCCTAGAGCCAGTGCTCCGCAACGAGAAGCCACCGCAATGAGAAGCCTGTGCACCGCAGTGAAGAGTAGCCCCCCGCTCGCCATAACCAGAGAAATGCCTGCGTGCAACAACGAAGACCCAACGTAGCCAAAAATGAAATACATTAAATAAATAAATTTATAAAAAAAAAAAACCTACAATGAAGTATCACCTCATACTGGTCAGAATGGCCATCATCAAAAAATCTACAAATAATAAATGCTGGAGAGGGTGTGGAGAAAAGGGAACCCTCTTGCACTGTTGGTGGGAATGTAAATTGATACAGCCACTATGGAGAACAGTATGGAGGTTCCTTAAAAAACTGAAAATAGAACTACCATACGACCCAGCAATCCCACTACTGGGCATATACCCTGAGAAAACCATAATTCAAAAAGAGTCATGTACCAGAATGTTCATTGCAGCACTATTTACAATAGCCAGGACATGGAAGCAACCTAAATGTCCATCGACAGATGAATGGATAAAGAAGATGTGGCACATATATACAATGGAATACTCTTCAGCCATAAAAAGACACGAAATTGAGCTATTTGTAGTGAGGTGGATGGACCTAGAGTCTGTCATGCAGAGTGAAGTAAGTCAGAAAGAGATAAACAAATACCATATGCTAACACATATATATGGAATCTAAAAAATATGGTTCTGATGAACCTAGGGGCAGGACAGGAATAAATATGCAGACGTAGAGGATGGACTTGAGGACATGGGGAGGGGGAAGGGTAAGCTGGGATGAAGTGAGAGAGTAGCATTGACATATACACACTACCAAATGTAAAATAGATAGCTAGTGGGAAGCAGCTGCATAGCACAGGGAGATCAGCTCGGTGCTTTGTGACCACCTAGAGGGGTGGGATAGGGAGGGTGCGAGGGAGACGCAAGAGGGAGCATATATAGGGATATATGTATGCATATAGCTGATTCACTTTGTTATACAGCAGAAACACAACATTGTAAAGCAATTATACTCCAATAAAGATGTTAAGAAAAAACAAAATGAAACAAAACCATGATGTGATACCACTGCACACTTGTTAGAGTGGCTGTAATAAAAAAGACAATAAGAAGTGTTGACAAGGATGTGGAGAAATCAGAACCCTCTCTCATTGCTGGTGGGAATGTAAAATAGCACAGTTGCTTTGGAAAACGGTTTAGCAGTTTCTCAAAATGTTAAACATAGAGTTGCCATACAGTCCAGCAATTCTCCTATTAGGTATGAATCCACAAGAAGTGAAAACGTATATCCACACATTTCTACAAATGTTTGTATGAGCTTTACTCATAATAGCCCAAACCGGAAACAACCCAAAATGTCTTAACAGCTCATGAATGGATAAACAAAACGTAGTATTTTCATGCAATGTAATGTTACTCAGCCATGAAAAGGAATGAAGTACTGATACATGCTACAACACAGATGAATCTCAAAAATATTAGGCTAAGTGAAAGAAGCCAGACACAAAAGATGGCATATTTGTATAATCCCAGTTATGTGAAATGTCCAGAATAGGTAGATCTACAGAGACAGGAAGTAGCATAGTGATTGCCTGCAGCTGGGGGATGGGAGTGAGTTGGGGGGGATGAGGAGTGACCAGGGCTGGGTGCTTAATTGTCCTAAAATTAGATTATGGTGATGGTTGTAGAATTCTGTAAATATGCCCTTGTACACTTTAAATGGGTGAATTTTATGATTTGGAAATTATATCTCAGTAGAGCTTTTTTAAAAAAAAAAACAGTGTGTGTATGTGTGTACATTTGCTTTTATTTATACAGCATGTTGCCTCTAAGGATAGAAATTGGGCAGAAGAAAGACTTCACTGTATCCTGTCTACCTTTTGCATTTCAAATCTTGTATGTGCATTACTAATTCGAAAGACAATACAGAAGAGTACTAAATATTGACTTCTTTCTTCTCTCCCCTACCCTATCCCCACAATTGCAGGATCGCCTCTATTGACTTCAAGTCACAGGCCGATGCAGAGAGAGCCTTGGAAGAGAAGCAAGGAACAGAGATCGGTGGGCCTTCTGTAGTTCTGGAACTTGTCGGAGCAAAAAGCCAAGGCCAAGATGAGAGAGACAGGAGGGAAAAAAGTGCAACTGGCAAAGTAAGGGTGTGACAGCTCTGTAGATGGAGACTCGCCAGGTTTCCCAGGGAGGGGCTAGTATGAGGTTAGGGGCACTTGGCACTGTTTTGTTTTTTGTTTTTTTTGGTTTTTTTGGCTGCGTTGGGTCTTCGTTGCTGCACATGGGCTTTCTCTACTTGTGGCGGGCGGGGGCTACTCTTTGTTGCAGTGTGTGGGCTTTTCATTGTGGTGGCTTCTCTTGCTGCAGAGCATAGGCTCTAGGGGCACGGGCTTCAGTTAGTTGCAGCACATGAGCCCTAGAGTGTGCAGGCTTCTGTAGTTGCAGCATGTGGGCTCAGTAGTTGTGGCTCGCGGGCTGTAGAGCGCAGGCTTGGTAGTTGTGGCGCGCGGGCTTACTTGCTCTGCGGCACGTGGGATCTTCCTGGACCAGGGTTCGAACCCGTGTCCCCTGCATTGGTAGGTGGATTCTTAACCACTGCACCACCAGGGAAGTCCCACTTGGCACTTTTAAATACAGTTTCTCTATCAAAAATGTGTAAGTCATCCTCATAATTCTGTCAAGCTAATAAGTATTGTCCTAGTTAACTGTAACCTCGAAGCCTGCAGAAGGCATGGCACTTTGAGAGACATCAGTTTAGTTCCCCCTTTTGGGGTATCTTCTAGGATTCTGTTTCAACAAGCTCTTAAACCTGTGGTTTTAGAGTTAGATATTTAATTCTCTTCAAGTTGTGTTTTTTGTTTTTTTGTTTTTTAAAAAATTTTGGCTCTGTTGCATGGCTTGCGGGCCACGGCAGTGAAAGGGCTGAATGCTAACCACTAGACCACCAGGGAACTTCCTCAGGTTTAAAGACCCCAAACCTAATCTCCCTAATCTGATTGCTCGACGTGGTGGCTTATACAGAAAAAAATAAATAAAACAATAGAATTTACCATGAATATTTTTTAAAATCAAGAGATTTCACATAAAAAACTGGATTTCCAGCTGCTTTTGCTACATCAGAAAATCTGGTGGCCCTGGGGCTGCGTCCCTACACGTCCACAGGCGTCTGGAGAGAGGCAGCTGCTTCCTCTCAGCTGTGGCATTTGTTCTGCTGGCTATAGCCCCACTGTTCTGGAAGTTCTTACCAACCCTGAAGGAGTGAACATCACGCTGACACTTTGAAAAAATAGTGAATACTTTTTTTTTTTTTTTTTATCACAGAGCCATACTTTTTTCTTCTTGGTAAAGATATTTTTATATGTCTTATGCATTTGTCTCTTTCAAAAGTGGGAAAATGAAAGTTAGACAAGAAAACCATAGACTTCAAGAAAAATGGGAGAGAGCTTATTTCTTTGGAGGTAAAAGAACGTTCCTTCATATTTAATATGTAAACAACGTCTGTCTGTGTCAAGAGAATGTGACCTAACACACCATTATGAAAGCAACAATCGTAGGAACTATGATGAATCTACAGAAAAGCTGTGTGATAGAAAAGTCAATGAACTGAAAAAAAGACTGAAATTTCAACATGATTTGCTTTTGAGTGTGAATAAAATAAGTGATGCTGCTATGAAACGTACTTACGTATTAAGCGAGAAAATCGCCCGGGCAGCCAAACCTTTTGCAGATGGTGAGTTTATCAAGGACTGTCTGTTGAGTGCGGCAGAAATCATGTGCCCTGAACAGAGACAAGCGTTTGCCAACAGAAGACTGACTGGTAGTGTTGTTGCCCAGCATGTTTACAACACGACTGAGAACTTGCAGGACAAGTTGCAAGAAAAAGCCGAATCATTTGTGGCTTTTTCCATTGCAGCTCAGGAAGGAGTGGATGGAAATATTGACCCCCACGTAGGTGTATTTATTCGTGGTGGCAATGAAACTTTTGATGTGACCGAAGAACTTCTGGACCTGGCCCCCATAACAGGCACAGCGTCAGGAAATGAACGTTGAGAAAAGTCTTAAAACATTAACGTGGACTGGTCAAAATTGGTGAGTATTAGCACAGATGGTGACTCTGCGATGGTTGGTGTTAAAGAACTAGTTGCAAAACTGAAATCTAAAGTGTCAGGGCTGGGCTTCCCTGGTGGCGCAGTGGTTAAGAATCTGCCTGCCAATGCAGGGGACACAGGTTCGAGCCCTGGTCCAGGAAGATCCCATGTGCCGTGGAGCAACTAAGCCCTTGCGCCACAACTACTGAGCCTGCTCTCTAGAGCCTGCGTGCCACAACTACTGAAGCGTGCACGCCTGGAGCCCGTGCACCACAACAAGAGAAGCCAGTGCAATGAGAAGCCTGCACACCGCAATGAAGAGTAGCCCCCGCTCACTGCAACTAGAGACAGTCCGCGTGCAGCGACGAAGGCCCAATGCAGCCAAAAATAAATAAATTTATTTAAAAAAAAATTAAAAAGTGTCAGAGGTTTGCCAAGACACGGAACTAAAGTCTGTGCATGGCCTCATTCTCCAGGAGTCACTTTGTGCTAAAAGGTTAAAAATGGTATAGTTAAGGGCTTCCCTGGTGGCACAGTGGTTGAGAGTCCGCCTGCCGATGCAGGGGACACAGGTTCGTGCCCCGGTCCGGGAAGATCCCACATGCCACGGAGCAGCTGGGCCCGTGAGCCATGGCCGCTGAGCCTGCACGTCCGGATCCTGTGCTCCGCAACGGGAGAGGCCACAACAGTGAGAGGCCCGTGTACAGTGCAAAAAAAAAAAAAAAAAAAATGGTAGTTAAAAAACTACTATGTCATGGACATAGTAGTTTATACCATAATCTGGATACGCTCCCGTGGCTTGGACCGCAGGAAGTTCGGTGCTTTGTTTAATGAGTTAGATGCACCATATGGAAGCATGTTCTGCTCCAAGGAACTTAAGTGGCTGAGTTGTGGTGTGGTCCTAAGGCAGGTTTTTGAATTGTTGGAGGAAATTAACTTTTTCCTGTCTTCTAGAGGAAAATCTGTGCCTCAGCTTAGAAGCGAAGATTGGGTCAGAGACTTAGCCTTTTTGGTTGACATTATGACATATCTAAACATGTTGGATATTTCTCTGCAAAGACGTTCACAAGTGGTGACACAAATGTATGATTCAGTTGGCTCATTCCTAGCGAAATTGTGTCTTTGGGAGACTCATTTGGCAAGGAACAATCTGGCCCACTTTCCTACACTGAAATTAGTTTCTGAACATGAAAATGACGGCCTGAACTACATTCACCAAATTAAAAGTTGAAGGCTGAATTCCAAAAAAGGTTCTCTGATGAAAACTTTATGCGAATGAACTAATATTGTTCAGTTCCCCTTTCTCAATTAGTATCAATAATGTGAATGAAGAGCTACAAATGGAAGTTATTGAATTGCAGTGCAATAGTATACTGAAAGCCAAATATGGTGATGTTGGGATCCCAGAATTCTACAGATATCTTGGGAATGGTTACCCGAAATATAAAAACCATTGCGCAAAGGTTCTGTCCATGTTTGGAAGTATTTATGTTTGTGAGCAGCTCTTTTCTGCTATGAAACTAAAGAAAAGTAATCGTTGCTCCCAGTTAAAGGATTCAGAGATGAATGCGCAGCACGGGATTCACAGCCTGACGTTGATTGACATCTTGGGGCATAAGAAAGGAGTGTCAGATTTTGAATTTCAAATCTGAGGAGTAATAAATTACGGAACTTTGAATAATTATTTCTATTTCCAAATTATGTTTTTTCAATGTCAGATTTAAAGCGTAATCTCTGGCATCGTATGTTTGTACCTTATAACATATAAAATAACGTTTGCTTATATCCCGGCAGCTTATTTGTCCTATACTTGGCTTTTCTGGCGCTTAGATTATTCAGGTTTATAAACCTGTGTCCTAAAAGTAGCCACATTTTCCCAAAAGGCACTTGTGAGCCGGCAACGTGAACCAGGGAGTCAGCTGGATGAACGGAATGTTTAGATGCCTCATGCAGCCCTGTCCCCTAGGATGACAGACGTGCCACAGTGGTCCTGGGGCTCACCACTTCCTTAGACGGAGCTGGGGCGGCATAGCCAATTCTGGCCGCTGGGCTTCCTTTTTGGTGCTTGCATTTTGCATTTAAACACCTTTCTTTTGAAATTTCAATATTGCTGGTCAGCTCACAGTCAGTTGTGTCTGGACCTGGGAGCCGTTCTACCTCTTACAGACAGGGATGGGCATTCCTTTGGCATCCTGGTCACCCCAAGGGGATGCAGAATGGGGTGTCAACATGTCTAAGAGCTTATGAGCATTTTTCCAGGGAGACGGCCCATAGCTGCCTTCAGAGTCTTAAAGAGGTCTGTGATCCAAAAGGTGTTTTTCTACTGTGAAATTGGGACAGGACTCCTCACTGTTGCAGAAACTATATCTTGAAAAATCAGTCACATTATAGAAATGATATGTACTTACTGTAGAACATTTGGAAACTCTAAAGAAATAAAGGGAGGGCTTCCCTGGTGGCGCAGTGGTTAAGAATCTGCCTGCCAATGCAGGGGACACGGGTTCGAGCCCTGGTCCGGGAAGATCCCACATGGCGCAGAGCAACTAAGCCTGTGCACCACGACTACTGAGCCTGCACTCTGTAGCCTGTGAGCCACAATTACTGAGCCCGCGTGCCACAACTGCTGAAGCCCGCGTGCCTAGTGCCCGTGCTCCGCAACAAGAGAAGCCACCGCACTGCAACAAAGAGTAGCCCCCGCTCGCTGTAACTAGAGAAAGCCCGCGTGCAGCAACGAAGACCCAATGCAGCCAAAAATAATAAATAAATAAAAAGAAAAGAAATAAAGAGAAAAACCTATAATCTCAACAACCAGAGGTAACCCCTATAAATATTTAGGTATGTTTTCTCTGTCAACTTTCTGTGCATTATTTTATATGGTTGAGTACATCATGTATTCCGCTGCCTTCCCCCTCACTCCCTCACTTAGTAAATTCTAAACATCCGTCAGTTCTCCCAAGCTTACGGTTGAGTTTATTTGATTGTGTCAGGTGTGCACTGATGGGCCTTCGCCAGCCAGAGTGAGTTCTCTGGGCATCACGTGAGCCACAAGGTTGATTTCCAGGGGTGGGATTCCTCTTCCATTCTGCCAGGCTCTGCAAAGGCCAGAGAACTACCCTGTTGTCTAGGGAAGCAGACGCAGATGCCGCCTGCTGACCCTCAAGGCAGTCTTCCAGCGGAGGTCCTGGGACCACT